CTCTACCTGCCCCTCACCCCCGCCCCACAACTAAGATTGAACACGGCACCTTGAGCTGAGCAGCCGGGAGCTGCTGATGGGCGGCCCGATGCGACTGGACTTGGAGCTGAGCTAGCTGCGCCCTCCACAAGTAAGATTGAAGGACAACTTGACTATTTCCCTTCCCCAATTCCCCAACACTGTTCCCCTCCCCCTCAATTCACCAATAAAATCTTAAAAAAAAAAGAAAGATCCAAAGACTATAGAATGAGTAAAAACATGAGAGCTTTATTCGACACTCATTAAGTATTTAAAGGTCCTTACCAGTTGTCCTTCAGCCTTTTTTCCTATAGCGTTCTCCCATTGGCAAAATTCCCTTGGAAGTCTCGTTGCTCCATTGCTCACAATTGTGCAGCCCAACTTGAAACCTTCCCAAAGCTCTTCATGTCACTGCATTATGGATGCAAGCAACAGTGAACATGTAAGAGATTATTGCATGTTTTCTCCGAACTATATTGTGTCTTTACTAAGTCCTGTTTATTTTTTACATTTATAAACTTTCTATTATATTTGTCCACACTAAATTCTTATCTATATTATACATAACCATTTTGATTTATTGTCTTGAGTTTCCTTCCTTCCTGCCTTTAACATTTCTCATGACTACACTGTTTTGTTGTGTTTTAAACACCTCTTTAATTGGCAAAGCATTAAGGGACTTGGATAGAATCTGCTCATCTTTTTGTGATGATTTATGCCAATCCATCATTCTGGTCATTGATGAAAGCACATCACTTTTTGTCGTCTCTAACCTTACATTAGATCCATACCCCTTAGGCATCACACTGTGAGATATATATCATAGGAAAAGTATGTCTATGTCTTACAGAAATACGTATAGAGGCAAAAATCACTAAAAGGACTCAGATGTGTCACTTGGATAATACTGTTTGTCATCTGTTTGGGGATCATTTTTGGTCCTTAATGAAATAGGTGATTCTCTCTTAGAATTAGCCAAACAAAGTATGTCTTGGAAATAATAGTTTTGTCGGGTGGGAGGGGGGTTCCCGCTTTAAAAATATATATCAGAAAACTTTTATAACAGGCTGTTTCCCACTGGGAGGTTATTCTGGGTCAGAAAATTGTAATGAATAAATAAGAATTTTTGTAACATTTAGAGTGAAGAGTCCAGTTCTAATCTGACAAGTAAGCTGTTATTAGCTTTTAGTGTTCTAATTTCAAAGTTTTCCAGTATCTTTTCTAATTGTATTAGGAAAACATGATTACCGTATTTTTAGTTCTGTTTGTGATTAAATTGAGGATTTGACTATAAGAACAGACTAACACAATTAAATCAATTATCAATTAGTAAAGCAAGATAAAACTAAAGGATATTTATGAAATCAATTCTATGTAAGTTTAAGAGTTCAAATGTCACAAATAAAAGACACATAACCATCATTTATTCTGTCGTTTGTGTGTGTGTTGTGTGTGCTCCATTTATTTCTTTAATAAATAGGTTCTTCATCTTGCAGTGAAGAACAGCAAAATTGATACTACCATGAGCAACTTATTTTCCATGGACGCTAAGCTGATCATTAAACCTATCCAATCTTTCAGTTATCCTAAATTCTCAGCTCTGCTTCAAGCAAATTTCATTGCCACATTGACCAAAATGATAAAGAAATGTCATTGAAAAGCAATGGTAATGTCATTTACTATAAAAATAATATATGTTATCTGAATTTTATTCTTCATTGTAAAGTAGATTTTAGCAGAATATTATTTTAACTGAAATGTCTCATATTTTAATGCAGCATTCATCATCTGAGTTTTCATGATGACAAAAACCAGGCAAAAATTTCCAGTACTTAATAAGTTAATAACTAAATGAAGAAATCCTATTTAATCTAGCTAAACTTCGAGTTTATAATTGTATTACTGCATACTAAATTAAGTTGAATGTCTGTCTGCTCCAGAATAAATTATATCATATGATTGAGACATGGCCTCACATATTATCAAATCAGCAAAGGGTAAGCAAACAGTAAGCATTTTCAAAAAATATATAGACTGTGGAGGGAAAAGATATCAACAAAATCCTATGTTTATTAACTCAGAAACAGTATTTTGGAAAACTATTCTCTGGGATATATATGCCTCTATAAGGATGTATTTGGGATTGCTAAAAACTACAAGCTGTCTTCCACAAGAGGAAGCAGCATTTAGAAAGTTCTTAAATTGTGACCTAATATGTGTCTAAAGGCTAATGATTTCACGTAGGGCTTGTCTTGGTTAGAAGGACTCACATGAAGCTACAACAGGGACGTTTGCCCCACCTGAGCCTGTGGTCAAGGCAAAACCTTGATAAAGATGCCGAGGCTTTTTAACACTGGCTGGAAATGAAAGGAACTGGGCTGCACACCTCTGCCCTATCCATGGATGAGAATATAGCCCCTTCTCTGCTCAAAAAACTGCAACACTACCCTTTCCACTCAGAATAAAAGCCTGAGCTCCCCCTTCATCCCTCCATTTCACCCCCCCCACCACCACCACCACCTCCTTGCTGACCTCGCACATACTAGGCACACTCACATTTCTGGCCTTCCCACTGGCTGTTCCCTTGCCTGGAAATCCTTCCCCATGGCCTCACAGCTAACTCCTCCTCCTTGAAGTCTTTGCTCAAATGTCACCTTCTCAATGAGGTCTCCGCTGACTGCACCTGCCCACATGGACTCACAATCCTTCCTCTGCTCAAATTTTCCTCTCCTCCTAGCATTTATATTATATAATTTATTTATTAGGCTCAGTGTTTATAGTCTGGCTCTAGAAATATAAATTCCATGACATCGGAGATCTCTGTCTATCTTGTTTATTGATGTATTCCAAGCATTTAGAAGAGAGGGTCTGGCACATGGTAGATTGCTCAATAAACCTTCGATGAATAAATGAATGAATTCACATGATAGGTGCCTAATTAAGTTATGCTATCAGAGAGATTAGTTAAAAGCAATGTATAATAATGATATCAATTTGATGATACACCAAAAGCATACGTTTATTGAGTACGTACTGCAGATTAAGTACATTCAAAGCGTTTTACATAGATAATCTCATCTAATGCTCATGACAATCCCATGAGGTTGGTTATCTATGTTTATCGCCACTGTAGAGTCAAGGTTAATTAAGTAATTTGCCCCAAGTCACAAACAAGGAAGTGATGGAGCTGGGATTTAAAGTCATGCAAGAGTCCTCATGCTTAACCGTGGGGATCACCTTCATCCACTAGGCATTGGGCTCTCTTGCCAATCATGTCTCTGTCTATGGACATGGGCTCCACATGGTGCAGCAATCCAGCTTCAGTTTATTTCCTGGTTATTTGTTAACTTGGTTGCATTAGCACTCCTCTGATTAGTCCATGTGAGATCATAAAGTATTTCTATTCACAAGATGTGCATTCACAAGTACAAAGTGGACCCTGGACCAGAGATGAGTGGGACAATGGATCTAACTGGGGGACACCAATAAGGTGAGCATGACTAGTGTTGAGTGGTGTGAGGGTCCCTGAGTGGGAGGGAGACAAGAAGACAATCTGAAAATCCAGGAGGACTCACCCAGGGTGGGAGCAGGATGTACTATGAGCAACTGAAAGAGTACCTAAGAAATTTCTAGGTCTTGCTCCTTGCTGTGAAATGGGAAAAAAGCATGCATTTTATTCATCCTTGTAGGGAAACAAGCAGACTTTTAAGAATTAATAAGCAGAATCACCAAAAGCAGAAGATCTTAGTTTGACAATAAGAGGTTTGTAGAACTGTTAATATTTTTGCTAATTTTTCTGCTCTACTAAAAAAATTCTTCAGCCATGATATAAAATATGAACAATTAGACATATGCAACGAGAGTCTAGAGCAAGGTGTAGCTGTGAAATTTATTAATGCATATAATCCATAAACTAAATTTAGAAATAAATAGGAATTACATTACATTGTAAAGCAACATCCATTCCATCCACCTGACTTGTACAGCATCCTTTCAGGTCACCAAGAGTTATGCAGACCATAAATGTTCTCCGGTTCCTGGTTCCATCGGGGGATCTTTAATATGTCAGGACATAATGCCAGTCTATGTTTTAAGGTGGGATGAAATAAGTATGCTGTGAGGGAATGAATGACTTTTATCTTCCCATTCCTAGGGCTTCATGGATGCTGTCCACGAAAAGGTTCAACTACAGAACATAGAAGGAGGCAGCATTTGTTAAAAGAGGAGCAAGTAGGGGTGTTTGTTTGTTGTTTGTTTGTTTTTTAATAGTGAACCATTAGATTCAGCAACTATTGAACCATGGAAGATAAAGAAAATTTATTCAAAAGGCAAGCCCCATTTCACACTCCCAAGAATAATTTTTTAAGACATTTCCAACCCTAGCACAAGCTTTTTAAGGTTGTGCAGATAAACATAAGGTGTAGCTTTGGTATTAAGCACTGGCAGGGCATTATCTGGACATTGGATTCAGCTAAACCCTCTGAGCTTATGGGTTTGAAATAAAAGAAATAAAAAATGGCAAATCCAGAAAGTCCCTTAAGAGCTGCAAGCTAATGATTGCCATGTTGTCTGTGTTCATTCAGAAGAAAGATTATGCTGCCCTTGGGCTCATTCTGTTTAATTGGAATTTTCATTATCTCTCTTAAGTGACTGCAGAAAGTGACTTGGATAGAGAAATGTGGAAGAAAGGGACTCAAGTTTCTCATCCACTAACAAGAGGAAGGGAAGACAAATGAAGTAATTTTTAAATGAGTATATCCTCTCCTCTCCTGTGCCTAGATTCCAGAGTTACTGTACTGGAAAGGTCTAGAAGCAGAGCAGATGGGTGTGCTTTTGGGCAATTGGGAAGGCATTTTAGGGGAAAGAAGGGCTGGGAATTTATTTACTGAGAATCTACTTTGTGCCAAGTACTGTGCTTGGTACTTGACATGGGCTCTCCCATCCCATTCTCACAACTGTTTGTTAAGAAAAGTGTTGGTGACACTGACTGTTCTGTAATCTGTTGCAGATGTGGAGACTGAATGTCAGTCGCATGCTGGGGAGCAATGGTGACTCACCCAGGGACAGTCGCTGCTTTCATTTAGTGCTAGGCAACCTGCCAAGTATTTTACTTGGGTTATCAGACTTAATCTTCACCACAACCTTATGAGGTAAATACTATTGTTATTATTCCCATTTGTTTAGTCACAAGAGTCTTTCTTATTCAAGATCATGTGACTGGTTAGTGGTAGAGCTGGAATCTGAACCCAGGCAATCAGTCTCCAGAGCCCCTGCTCTATCAAGAGGACATACAAGGTCTGACAATTAGGTTTGTGAACTTGTTGCAACGATGTTGTTAATCTTTTTTTATATCACCGGGACTATTCATTATGAATTTGTACCCACTGGACAGTTAACCAAGGTTACTATTTGGAAGTGCTGAAAAGGCTGCGTGAAAAAGTTAGACAACCTGAACTTTTCGCCAATGATTGATGGCTCTTGCATCACGACAATACACCAGCTCACATGGCACTGTCTGTGAGGGAGCTTTTAGCCAGTAAACAAATAACTGTATTGGAACACCCTCCCTACTCACCTGATCTGGCCCCCAATGTCTTTTTTCTTTACCCGAAGATAAAAGAAATATTGAAGACATTTTGAAACAGGAAGATATTTTGATGACATTCAGGACATCAAGGGTAATATGATGACCGCTCTCCACTCCAGCAAAAAGAGTTTCAAAATTGCTTTGAAGGGTAAACTAGGCTCTGGCGCCTGTGCGTAGCCTCCCAAGGGGAGTACTTCAAAGGTGACCATAGTGATATTCAGCAGTGAGGTATGCAGCACTTTTTCTAGGATGAGTTCGTGAACTTAATTGTCCAGCCTCATAACTATGTTATGTCCCCTCCAGCACTCACATTTTATTTATTAAAAAAAAATTATTCATCCTTTTAGAATGTTCACCTGCTACCCTGGGGACAAAGCTTCTTTCACCATGAGGATCATAAAATTAGTTGCCCCTGAAAAGCCCAAAGGAACCTTGGAAGGCAATGATGAGGAAAGTATACAAGATGAAATGAATGCTTTCTTCACAGCATAGATAGGGTGAGTCTGATGAAAATGCCAGTGAAAGCTATGGTCATCAATTTGATGGGTCAAAGGGAGGAAACATGGGCTCCCTGCTCCTGCCGCAGGTGGTAACGAGGCCACTGTCTGGGGAATGCAGCCTGACTGCCGAAGGTAAGAACAGTCAGAGGAACAGGAGAGCTCGTGCGCCTTTGATTCAGAGGGATTCACACCTTCCAATTATCCAATAAAACAGTTTCATTCCTAACCAGACTTAATCTTCCAAGGAAGACAAGTACAAGAGTCCTCCCTTACCTGTGGGGTATGTGCTCCAAGACCCCCAGTGGATGCCTGAAACTGTGACGAGTACAGAATCCTGTATATGGTATGATTTTCTTAGACATAATACCTATGATAAAGTTTAACTTAAAAATGAAGCACAGTAAGAAATTAACAATAACTAATAATAAATTACAAGTAAAATAATACACCATAATAAAAGTTATGTGAATGACTTTAGGGCCCTTATTAAGTAAAATAAGTGTTACCTGAACACCAGCATGGCAATACCATCACAGTCACTCTAACTGAGATGGCGACTAAGTGACTAACAGGCGGGTAGGGTACACAACGAGGAGATGCTGGACAAAGGGATGATTCGCATCTCCCATGCATGGATTGGAGTAAAATGAGGCAATAGTTCATCACACTACTCAGAACGGTGTGCAATTTAAAACTTATAAATTGTTTATTTCTGTAATTCTCCATTTAATATTTTCAGACCACAGTTGACCACGGGGAACTGAAACCACAGAAAGTAAAACAGCAGATAAACGGCGGGGGAATACTGTGTCTCCTGGTATTGGCCCTTTCACGGCATCAGGGAAGGGATGTGGCAGCTTTTGAGAAACCAGATGCTCATTTGACTGAGCTGCTGGAAGGGAAACCAGGATAAGGTAAGGATTAGCTAGGCTTTCCTGGGTGGAGCTGGCACAACTATTCTGCAGTGTAACTTGGAGGGGCGTATCTTATGCTGAAAGAAGGGAATGCATAGAGTTTAGTTATAGGAATTTATAAAGTGAATTACTTCAGAAGCATGAGTATTTGTCATCAGGGCTTGGAGCAAAAGGACAGACAGCTGCAGAATACGGACCTACTTGCAACCACACAAGAGAGATGAGCCAAGAGCAAAGCAGGAGTCTGTGGTCTCAGCAGAGCCTGAGCTGAGCAAGCACTGCCCTCGGTTGCCCTGACAATAGGACCTCTTCCCATGTTTAGAATGACATTATCACGTGGAAAAGCACATATGTGCAAAGTAAACAGTAAGTCAGTGCAGAGCAAAACTGTCTGGGAGGAATTTGGGAGGGGTTTGTGTAGCAGATAAAGGATTAGATCATAGGAGAAAGAATTGTAGTTATGTATTAAATGGGTGACGTTCTCAGGACTTCTTGGGTTCTGCAGACCTGTTGTGTAGTGTGATGTCAGTGTAAAGAATAAACTATACATCTGTGGTTCTATGTCGCCTCACCTCTACCACCTGATGCCCTCACCGTGTGGAAGGACAACACAAAGAAGCAGAGTGGGCAGGTCTGTAAGAACCAGGTCCTAATGTTCATTTCCAGTTTCTCTTTATTCCATTGATGGAACAGGGACAGGACGGGACAATCCTACCAGGTCTGTCATGCAAGTCTCAATCAGTTTTTATTAGGATGGCCTTTTGCCAATTTAGTCCCCAAATTACTTAGGCCTTCAGCTTGTAAGATGGATTGTGACAAGAAACAGTCCTATAAAACTTATGAATGAGCCTCTCACATTTTTCTCCCCAACATTCATTGTAGCACCTACTATGTGCTAGGGCCTGAAGATCCAGCAGTAAACAAGATACGCAGAGTCTCACAGAGCTTATATTCTAACAAGGGCAAACTGTCAAGAAGCAAATCAACAGGCAAAAAATTCCTTATGATCGTTATGAGTCCCCTAAGGATAAGCTCAAGACACTATAAAAACAGGAGAACCCTGGCCTAGTATTGGGTCTGAAAAGGCTCCCCTAGGGGAGTTAACATGTAGGCTTATCCCTTCAGGTTTATCTGGAGTTAGCCAAGCAAGTAGAAGGAAAAGAGCACACCAAGCAAAGAGACAGCATGGGGAAAGACCCTCGGCACGAACAGGATGGCACATGTGAGGGGCTGAAAGAGCACCCGTGTGGCTGGGGCCCCCACGGGGAGGCGGCGTGTGGCACAGATTCCACAGGAGAGTTAAGCAGTGGCCAGATCACACAGAAAGGGAGCCTGCCTGGTTCCAATGTCAAGAACAGGCGTCCATCCCATCAGAAAAAGTGCCTCAACAATAATTTCAATTGAAAGAGGGAAAGTTAGTGGATCCTTTAATATCATGGAGAGCCATATCAGTGATAGTGTCCATTTGATTTTTTGTCTTTATTGCTGATCATCTGAGTCATTATATGAGAACTATAGAGATAATAATATCTATACCAAAGTCCTCTTTTGATTCACTAAATATTAGATAATTTTCTCAATCTGTACGTGAGGTAAAAGATGGGTTTCGTTGTAAAAATGTTTTAAGCGAAACAAATATTTTATGTTTCATAAAGAATATAGGTCTTAAAACCCCAAAAAGGGAGAATTTCATAAAACTTTTCCTAAAGAATTACTGTTAAGATATCCCATGAACCAGAATTTGGAGGGCATGTAGATTGAATTTTGATATCTCTGATTAGTTTTTAACAGACATTTTGATTTCAGTTATCCAAAAGAACATACAATGTGGTAATGCTTTGAAACCAAAAAGGTCTGTTCTCATTTTATTTATTATTAACAATATTAATGGTTTTTTAAAGTCCAGGAGAATTATCAAGGTATCACTTCATAAGTTATATAAATGTCTAAACACTACACTGTACACCTGAAACTAATACTGAATGTCAACTGTAATTGAATTTTTTAATTTAATAAAATAAAATCCAGGAACCAATAATTCACATTATTTCATGAGAACATAGTTTTTAATTTTCAAAGAAAATCTTATAAAGGTTTATTTTTTACAAATTAAAAACCATCAAAGTACCAAAGATAAAATAGACATCAAACTGAGTCACAAAGCTTTTGGAAATTCCTCCCCAGTATTCTGAGCTCCATTTGGCATCGATGTCATAATGTTCTAGGTAGTTATAGGACCTGCTAGCCAACAGAAAGGAAACTCTGAGGAGACACAGTACATTACTGGATAAATCACATCGTCCCAATGAATTTTATGTTGTATATTTTTTTATCTGGGGTCTTTTCCTCAGAGATTAGTGATGTGACTCCCAATAATGAAGGTGAGTAAGCATTTAAAGCTTTCACAGAAATAACAGATAAGAAAGATGACCCATTATCCTAGAAAATTGGAATGTGGAAAGTTTCTATGGGATGATATAAAGTTTATTGTTGGAAGTAGGGTATAATTTAGAATTTAAATCTCTGCCTCAAATCCTTTGTGGGAAAAAAATATACAGTTAGAAAAAGAAAGTAGTAAAAGAAATCAACATATGTTTGCTCTATGGTATGTCATATTTTTTTTCAGAGTCTGATATGGAAATTGAAGAAAATAAAGAGGAAGAAATTAAAGATAATATACCTGCTAATGAGAAAAATGACAATCATTATAAAGATATAAAACAATGTAAGTCTTTAAAGCTAATAGCGATACATACATATACGAAAACTGATTATATTAGTTTGATTTATTTTAACTCTTTTTAAAAAACCTATTTTTTAAATAAAAAGTCATTTCATTTTCTACATCTTAAATCTTAATTCACCTTATAGACGTTTCAGTGTGTACAATGACATACTTATTTCCTACAACTTTTTTATGAGATGTTATGAAGCTTAACAAAGTTCTCTTGGTGATTGTCCATAATTAACATAGGGTTCATTGTAGCATTGTGGTTATTTATTCACATGAGTAACAATTGACTTAATTCTCTGGTGAGTTAACCAAAATTTATTTGGAGACGTGTATGGGTTTCCTAGGGCTGCGGGAACAAAGTACCACAAACTGGGTGGCTCAAAGCAAAAGAAATTTGTGATTTGTTCTTTCACAGTTCTGGAGGCCAGTAATCCAACGTTAAAGTTTTGACTATGCCATGCTCTCTCCAAAGCCGTTAGGGAAGGATCTTTCCTTGCCTCTTCCAGCCTCTGGTAGACCCAGGCGTTCCTTGGCTTGTAGCAGCACAATTCTAGTCTCTGCCTCCATCTTCCCATGGCGTCCTCCCTGGGTCTCTGTGTCCAAATTTCCCTCTTCTCACAAAGAATACCATTCATATTGGATTAGCAGTCCACCCTACTCCAGTGTGACTTCATCTTAACTAATTATATCTTCAGTGACCCTATCTCCAAATTAGGTCGAATGCTGAGGTTCTGGAGGTTGACTTCAACATATCTTTTTTGGGGCATGTGGGACAAAATTTAACCCATACCAACATGACTTTGAGATGTTTGAAAAGTCCATTAAACTTTAGTTCATATGGGCTTTTTGTCCATGTCCATATAAGGTCCATCATTCTAAAATGGAAAAGTTCATAAGAAACTTTTATTAAAAATTATTTTCAAGGGCCGGCCGAGTGGCTCAGTTAGTTAAGAGTTAGCTTAAGAGCGTGAGCTCTGAGCAACAGGGCTGCTGGTTCGATTCCCACATGGGCCAGTGATGCTGCACCCGAGCTGATCTGCTGCTGAGCTGCCAACGGGTGGCAGGATTCTGCTGAGCTGCCAACAGGTGGCAGGATGGCCCAGCTGGTGAGAGCACGTGCTCCTTACAACATGACTGCCTGTTCGATGGTGAGCTATGCCCACCCACAACTAAGACTGAACTCGGCACCTTGAGCTGAGCTGCCACCTGGATGGCTCAGTGGATAGAGAGTGCACTCTTAGCAACAAGGCTGCTGCTTCGACTCCCACATGAGATGGTGGCTATGCCCATCTGCAACTAAGATTGTAACACAGCACCTTGAGCTTAGAGGCCACGAGCTGCTGACAGGCAGCCAGATGGCTACTGGCACCTTCCACAACTAAGATTGAAGAACAACTCGGCTGGTCCCCTTCCCCAATTCCCCAACACTGTTCCCCTCTCCCAATTCCCCAATTTTTTTTAATTCTTTTCAATTAAGTTTAAATCTAATTATTCTGAGATCTTCATTAACATGAATCAAAGAAAAACAGAAATACAATCAAGAAATATACATATACACTCAAGTACTTTAAAAACTATAATACATAAATTGTATTTCAATTTTTTCTTTGATGAAATGTTATCCCTCTTTTATAGGTGAAAAAAAAAAACCCCTGATGCTTAGAGAGGTCAACTGCCAGGTTTCATAGCCACTAAAAAACAGAATCTGGAGTGGTATCTAATCTATCCACCATCAGGCTGCCTCTACTGTGTGTGAAATGGTGTACCTCTATTTTGAATTATCCAGAGGGTAAATACATCAAGAGCCTGATGATTACTTTAAAGAAAAACAATCTTCCTCACACACACACACACACACACACACACACACACACACACACACACACATTTATATGAAAAACAAAAAGGGGGCATACTAAAGAATTGTAGTATGACTTATTTTTCTCATTTAACAACTCTGGAGTTCCTTTCTCATCTACCTCCTTTTTAGTGAATACATAATATTGCATAAAGTGATGTTCCATAATTTCTCTACTATCTTATAAAGAATTAGATTATGAGCAGTTTTCCCTTTGTACGTTCTTCTCAAGTACCTCTGGGTCTATCTCTCGTTGGATGGATGCCAAGTTCTGGAATTGTTGAGTTAAGGATAAATCTTTTAAAATATTGATAGAAACCAACAAACTGTCCTCCAAAAAAGCATCTACCAATTTACATTCCCCACGAATGCTCCTCAGTCTCACCTACAATGAATAGTATTAATTATATTTTGTGACTAAGAAATTTTCATTACTGTTTTAATTTTCACTCTGATTACTGTGAAGTTGAGTATTTTTCTCTGTATTTATTGGTCATTTAATTTCCACTGCTGTGATTTGTGTGGTCTTATCCTTGGCTTACTTTTCTATTAGACTGTATTTTCATTTATTTGTAGGGGCTTTTTAAAAAATATTTCATATATTAATATTTTTGTCTATGGTAAAAGTAACAAGTATTTTCTCCCAGGCTGTTGCTTATTTTTTTTTTAAAGATTTTTATTGGGGAATTAGAGGATGGGAACAGCACTGGGGAATTGGGGGAAGGGGAACAGACAATTGCTGTCCTTTTTATTCTTCAGTCTAGTTGTGGAGGATATTGCTCCACTGGCCCAAGTTGGGGCCATCATTGCGCTCTTCCCCGGGCGGGGCAGATCAGTCGCCGGCTTCTGGAGGGCTGCTCACGCTGGCTGCTGGCCACTCACTGTAGCCCACGGCAACCCACTGCAGCAGGGGCTGCGGCCCAGCCATCGACTCACTGCAACCCAGCTCCAGGTTGAGCTGTTGTTCACCATTTTAGCTGTAGAGGGCAGTGTCACTGACCCTCATATGTGGGATCCGAACCGGGGCCCTCTGGCGTCCCAAGCCAGCTCTTAACCAATGTGCCACTCGGCCGGCCCTGTTGCTTATCTTTATACCTGTTTAGGTATCTTAATCACAAAGAAATGTTTAAATTTTATAAAATTAATTTTTTATTAATTCCTTTACAATTTCTGCGTTTTGTGTCTTGCTTAGATAGGTCTTATCTAATTCAAGATATTAAATTATTTTCCTAGCTTTTTAAAATAGATTCATGTTTTTTGTTTTTAACTCTTAGGTCTTAAATTCAATTATTTTTGTATATGGCATAAAATATGTTTAAAAGATTATATTTTTCAAGGAGGATCACCAAGTGTCTAATAACAATTTCCTACTAATGTGAAACTCAGATTTAGTATGATCTAAGTTCTCATTTGAAATTCAGCTAATTGCTATCTTTTTATTGTTTCTTTGATCTGTCTTTCCCTGCAAAAATACCAGCGTTTTAATTTTTATACTTTCACAACATATACATGTTGGGCTGTGACTTCCATTTTTTTTCTCCATAGATAAGCTCAGAAATTTCTCAAAAATTATATGTTAACAGTACTGATGTGTGTGTGTGTATACGCATGTATTAAACACATATACATTCATGTGTGTATAAAGTTTTCTGTCATTTTATGAGATTTTGAAAAGAGAAGATGTGTATGTATGTTCAGTCTGCCATCTTGATCCTATTTACTTTGATTCTGATTAGGTAGATATGTCCATTAGGTTTGAATTGCAACCAACCCCACTGACAACTCTTAAGATCAGGATTCTTTATGTGCATATGTAAATGTGAATGTACATGGGAGACCTTGATTGTTATCGAAGCATAGCTTTTTAAGCTGAACTGTTACATAGTCTAACAGAAGGTTAAAGGGCAAAAGAATCCTTCTTACTTGGCTTTTGTAATGTCAATACAAACAGTGATAATGTTACACATCTACAAATCTACTTCAGCACCTATTATGGACTTAAATATGTGTTTTTTCCACAAATTCCTCAATAATTTCATCTCAGCAAGAGTCATTTAGCAAAAGGAAACTAGTTTAGCTTTTTTCTCCATGTAATTTTAACCTCTGCCTCACTTCCTTATTTTGTAGATTTCAAATACTTTATTATTATTTTCTTGCAATTATTCAGTGCATATATTTTAAGAAAAAAAATCAGATGCAGAAAAATGTAAAGGAACAAGAAGTGACTTAGCTAGCTGCTGAGAACTTTGATCTTATATTTTCAGATGTGTTCACAACACAAAATCCAAATGGCACCCAGTCTGAAATATCCGTGAGAGCAACAACTGATCTGAATTTTGCTCTAAGAAACTGTAAGTACTGAAAAGCACTGTTGCAAATATGAAAAGCCCTTAAAGCAAGACTTGAAAACAGCACTTAAAGAGTATTGGATAGGAAAAGCTCTTAGTGGAGCTGATATCAGAAGTCTTACTTTCTATATAAGGAGGCTCAATGCCTATTGCACTGATAAATTCAGAAGGCAAGGAGGGTCTTACATTTCTTAGTCTCATATTTTTGGTTTGCATGGAAATATTAAAAATAACTAAATGTAGGACTCCAGAACAGAACATTGTACATCTTTCTTAGGCCCACATTTTTATTCTTTTCTGCATTACACCTTCAGCTTCAAATGCTTATTTACTTTTTTGCATCTTTCCACCAAGCGTAACTATTTCATAGATAAAAGTGTTGCCAGCATGTGACTTTGGAGGCCACTAAAAGTCACCAAAGTATATATAACACATCTTTCACCTTGACCTGTCAACAGCTCATATCTGTGAAACACACAAGCATAAAACAGAAGGAAAAGAGAATAAAAGTAAACAGGGAAGAGAGAGTGTTTCTGGCTATGGCAATTTCAATATTGGTAAAAGCCAGACTTAGTAATGCCAAATTATTCATAAAGCTACTTGACAATAATGGACTATTTTGAGCAATTTCAAACCTTGGGACGTAAATGAGATAGGGACATTTCAAGGGCATACGTTGATTAGACAAATGACTCATGGGAATTTTGCTTGTCCAAGCAAGAAACATCTTGAGTTGTTTGGGACAAGACACAGAGAGTCTGTTTAAGAAAACAGAGCAGGTACCTCAAATTCCCTTTAAAGATGGATTATTGAGGACCATGGGATCCATGGAAGAGATAATAAACCCTAACTTCTATTACCGCAGTTCAGGCCCCCAAAGGATCCTCAAAGAAAGTTGGGTTGAGATAAATTGTTGCCATTTTAAATGGGGCTCTGAGAGAGGGAGACATGCTGACATGGATGGGACATTATAGAGGAAGCAGCAAGCCCCTGAAGGAGAATGAAATCTCCAGAATAGTTTTGACTAACAATTCTGTTAGTCCCTAAAATTCTGAGGACAAGTTGGGTAGCTGAGGCAGTCCACTTTTCTCCAAAATAGAGTAAGAGAGTTGCAGAGCAGAGTTTAAGGATTCCTTACCAATTTTTCCAGTCCTGCCGGAATCAGTGTCAACTGTTTCCGGAAACAGGTTCTCTTTTCCACCCTTTCTTGCCACAAGATACCTGTAATGGTGTTGTTTGTAGGCTCAGTCTGAATTCATTCTGCCTCTCAGGAGGACTCCTCCTATGGTGGGACTGCCTGGACTGCATATGGAACATTACTGGCTCCTGCCTTTGGCAACAATAACTGAAATTCCAGGCCAACTTCTTGGTGGGAAATAAGGTCCTCCAGTCGTAACTGTCCACAAATACACTCTTCCCAACATACCTCCAGATGGACACATTATAGAATGAGATGTGTAGTAAAATCAGGCCTGCCCATCCTTTATTTGTAGCCCCAAATCTTTATATCCAAAGCTCTGCTTTGAGTCGTAAACATGCATATGTTTCCAATTTACAAGGACACCAATGCTGCCTCCCTTTTCATGTGATTACAGTGACCAGCACCCAAGCTGCCCTGGGCTGATAGTATCCCTTCAAGGCCTGTGCAGGAACCATCTGAAACAATGTATCTAATCCAACAGATCTTCCTTACCTCTAAAGGAGGCTTGTGGTGCCATGCTCCCAGCTTTCCTTCTGTCTTGCAAAGCATAGGCATATGAATCCCACCTCAGGCAGCCCATTATCACAAAAACTTGATTCTTTCTTTCCCTTCCTTTAAGTTATCTCAAAAAATTGTCAACATTTTTCTCTTTGGTTTTTTTCCTTTCTCCCTTTCTTTGTTCCACTTTTTTTTTTTAGCTTAAAAATATACATAATCACAGATGTTGCGTCAGTGTTTTCAAATGCTGATAATCCATTATCCCTTTTCCTAGATAAACTCATCAATGAAACAACTACATCACCTACTGGAAAACCCAGTGAAGAATATCCTAAAGAATCCTCTGAAAATCCTTTACAAAGTATTAAAGTTACTACACTGTAGTCATACCTGGAGCATATCATTATATGAGTAAAAATTTGTTTCACTACTCTATTTCAAAAAGTAATAGCATGCTTAAAGAATTTGTACTGCTACAATTTAAAGTCACTGTAAAAATCTTTTAAACAGTGAAAATCTAAGTCATTTTTCAGATGTATCTGACAAGGGGTAGGAAATGAGCTCTTTTCAAAATGCACTTTTATAAACTGTATTACATTTACATAAGTATATAAATGTATATATTTGTATTTCATATGTAAATATATGCATAAATATAAATTTATATTTATATAAATATTTCAGACATTTTAACATAACCTTTAATAAGTCCACAAACATTTCTACCTGCTTGAAGAATAAACTTTTTCCTCTGCATAGAGTCAATTATTAGTGTTTCCTGAGATTATTTGGGGTGGGGAGGGTTGGTAGTGAGAGGTTGCAAAATCGAAATCATCGTTTTACTTTTCTGCCAAGAATATTGTTCCTCATAACGTATTTGTGAAACCGTAACAATACAGGATGGCTCTCCTCTAAGGTCTTGAATGGGTGGTCTAATTGAAGACAGTGGACCTGTCATTACACGAAACCCTATTTTCTCCAGTTTATGTAATCCAAGTATGTTCCTAATATGATTACTATGAATTCATTTGCACCTGTAACACTACTAAAAATAAAAACCTTAGTCACTTTCTTGATCTATTTGAAAATAGAAATCTGATCATCCTGGTATTTTTCTTCTTCCATATCTTTAGTACTTTACACTAAAGTTTTAATTCACTAAAAGTGAAGAAGAAAATACTAAAGAACCCTTTGAACAAAGTATTCAAAGTATTACAGTTAAAACACTATAATTATACCTGGAGTATATCATTTTATCAGTAAAAATTTAAGTTTCACTACTTAAATTTGGGGTCATAGTCTAACTTCTTAACCAGGCATTCAAGTCTGAAACGATCTTACCACTGAACTTTCCAGCCTCATGTCTGGTCACATGCCCCGCCCACATTCTTCACTCCACACTATGTGAAGCTCCATGAGCTTATGGAACCTTCTCACGATTCTGAGTTTGCTCACAGTGGAATCACCTTTCCCTCGCCTCTTTGCCTGGCAAACAATTTCTAGTCCTCCAAACCTATACTGAAGCATCATCTCCCTTTCGAAGGGTTTCCAGCTTTTGCAAGTTGAATTGAATCCCTCTGTGCATACCACCTGTGCATTTCTTTTAAAACCCTCCTTATTCCTACAACATAATTAACAGCGGTGTTGGTGTCTGCTTTCAAAATCGAGTGTGTGTTCCTTGAGCATTCAGACCTGTGTCTTGTTCACTTCTGTAACTTTAGTGCCAACCTCAAGATCTGGCACATGGTAGGAGCTCAAGGTATAACTGTTAAATGACTAACAAACAAATGAATGAATATTCTCTATCACAAGTTTACTAAAGCCAAATTACCTTATTATGTTATCCTGTTCTATTTTGTTTTTTTAAACAGAATCAACTCAGGGTCCAAATGAGCCTGCATTTTGGACAATGTTAGCTAAAGGTAAACTCATAGCAGGTAGCCGGGGAAATGTTTTGTTTTTCTAAAGTCTTATGTAAGAAAGCCAAGACCGGTGTAAATAGTTCTAATACTACGAATTAATGGCAACATTTTGCTGCCATCATCACATGCAATAACAAATGCAAAGCAAACCCAGAAAGTGAAACAAGTGTCACGCATTTTCTGATTCTGCTCCCAAAAGTTTTATCTTTCTACAAATGTTGCAATCCAATCATTCAATTTATTTATGATTAAAATTTTTCAATAAGTCTCTTGCCCAGTATAGTCCCTCTTTGTGTTGGAAGCAGTATGCACATAAGCACATGGAGATGCCTGAATAAATGCAAAACACATATCAAAATATTGTATATGCATGCTTAAAATTAATGTATATATCATAAATATATAAGCATGCATTTCAATGTAATGTGTATGTCATATATGTGTATGCATGTATAAAATGTACTGTGTATATCATATAAAGATGCACATGTGTAAATGTGTATAAATCACACACGTATATGTGGGCATTATAAATGTGAAATATATACCATATTCAGCCCATCTTCATTATTTGCAGATTCTGTATTTGAGAATTTACCATCTAAAATTTATCTGTAACCCCCCAAATCACCACTTGAAGCACTTTTGCAGTCATTTGCGGACATACTCAGAGAAGCCAAAAATTTTAATTGTCTGCCGTTCACCTTCCCAGCTAAGGCAGAACAAGGCATCCTGCTTTCTTTCTTCAGCTCTCCTACTGTAAATAAGTGTCCTTTTCATGGTCTAGTTAGTGCTACGTGGATTTTGTGCTTTCTGTTGGTGATTGTGCTGTTTACACGCCCCCCCCAAGTATAGTATTACAATGCTGGCTAGTGGTTCAAAGCACAAGAGTCTGTGATGTCCCTTATGGAGAAAACGTGTGTTAGCTGAGCTTTGTTTAGACATGAGTTACAGTGCTGTTGGCTTTGAGTTCAATATAATGAATCAGCCATATATGCTCAAATAGAGTGCCTTTAAACAGAAACACCCATAAAACAAGGTTCTATGGTGATTGGTTGATGGAAATGCTATGACCAGAGGCTCACAGGAAACTAACCCTGAGTTTGCCCTGGGAGCAGCAGCTCAGTATTTACCAATTCAGTGTTCATGTGACTTTATAGAAAATAACTACCATGAACAATGACAATAAACTGTATATTACACACACACACAGACACACACACAATTTTAGTAAGTGAATTTGATTATCATAACACCAATTTGTTATTTTAACAGCTATAAATGGAACACCAACTGGGGAAAGTGGAGAAGAAAAAGATCAATTATTTCACCCAATTCCAAGTAAGAACAAAATACTTCAATTAAATGAACACATAAATACTGGCACATGTTTTAGTGTCTGCATGGTGATACTATTTTCCCTAGTAAAGGTGTAGTGTATGTAAGAGGGTAGCGTGGTGGCTAACACCACATTAGAGAGGACGTTGACTGTTTTAGGAAAGCTACTGTTCCTAAGCATTGTCCTTGTTACCATAGTGCAGGTGACTATTTCCATTCTCCAGTTTTGTAACTTCTATTCCTGAAACAGGTAGACCAAATGGGGAAGCAGGCAGGTGAATAATATATAGAATGCAGTTTTCTTTTTTAATTGGTTGACTTTATTTTTAGAGCCGTTTTGGGCTTACAGGGGAATTGAGCAGGAAGTACAGAGAGTTCTCAAATATTCCCCCTGCTGAGTTTCCTCTATAATTATCACTTGCATTGGTGTGATGCAGTTTTCATAACTTATGAGCCAATATTGATACATTATTATTGGCTAAAGCCCATAGTTTACATTAGGATCCACTCTTCATGTTGTACAAGTCTATGGGTTTGGACGAATGTATAATGTCACGTGTCCACCATTGCAGTATCATACAGAATAGTTTCACTGCCCTAAAAATGTCCCGTGCTCCATCTGTCCATCCCTCCCTCACCCCAACTCCTGAAAACCACTGATCTTTTCACTATCTCTATAGCTTTGCCTTTTCCAGAACGTCATATAGTTGGAAACATACAGTATGTAGCCTTTTCAGACTGGCTTCTTTTGCTTGGTAATAGGCACTTTAGATTCCTCCATATAGTTTCATACTTGATAGTTCATTTCTTTCTATCATCGAATTATATTCCATTGTGGGATGAACCAGTTTGTTTATCCATTCACCTACTGAAGGACAACTTAACTACTTCCAAGTTTGGGCAATTATGAATAAAGCTGCTGCTAATAAACACTCATGCAGGTTTTTCTGTGGACATAGGTTTTCAGCTCATTTGGGTCACTACCAAGGATCATGATTGCTGGATTGTGTGGTAAGACTATGTTTAGCTTTGTAAAAAACTGTCAAAGTGTCTACCAAAGTGGCTGCACCATTTTGCATTCTCACCAACAGTGAATGAGAGAATTCCTGCTACTGAATGCAGTGTTTTGGTTTTTTTTTTTTAGCTGAGCCATCCTGCCACCTGTTGGCAGCTCAGCAGCTGCTCGGTGGCTGCTCAGCTCGGGCCGGGACTCGAACCGCTGTTGCTCAGAGCTCAAACTCTTGAGCGAGCTCTTAACCAACTGAGCCACTCAGCCGGCCCTCAGTGGTTTTTCCATTAATGGATTAATTATATTTATCTGAGTACAAGAACTCCTGGTTTGAATGGAAAATTAATGACAAGGTAATATATTAATGTCTCCCAAACCTCTGTCCTACAAAGAAACCATTGAAAAAGAAATAACATCTGGTAATGGATGATCTAGGTCCTGTCACGTCAGCTCTGCACTGGATTATTTGACAAGTACATCCACTTGCCTTGCAGTGCTTCAAGAAAATGGAGTTAGTCTTCTTTGTTTAGAAGAGCTATATGTAGGAATGACAAATGCCACTTGAGAAATATTTTATCTTTTCAAGTCATGAAATTGAGAATGATTGATTTTCTATGATGTATGGAAAACGTAGTACATGCCAGGTGCTTTAAACCATACATTATTATGTCAGCTCACACAGCAACGCCATGAAGTTGGTATTATCTCCATTTTACAGATAAAAAAAACCCCTGAGGCTTAGAGAGAAACCGTGTCCAAATTTATGTTAGCTTTTCTGTAATTCCCAGTGGTTAGGAATTCCAAATCCTTCTCTAGTTTTCACCATCACTTTGATAAAATGTCCTATAAGCACACCTCTTAAACAAAAACCCTTTTAGGAAGTAGCAAAGCAATTCAGGAACACAGCCCATTTTAACATAATTTGTTTCATTATTCATGAAATAATCTGCTCAAAGTCAAAATACCAATCTTTGACAATTGTACACATTTCGCTCCACTTGGTTTAAGATTGCACTTTTAGACAATTATAATTTTATAAATCAGAGAATATGGACATGAGAGCTTGTCATTACTCATTACCTAGAAAATAATGGAACTTTGGGGAGGATGTTGGGAGAGAGGGAAGAAATATCATTATGGTCACTTAAAGTCACCATTATGGTCACCATTAAATACATGTGTATTATGTCAGTTATATATTCAGAAAAAACATGAAATTTGGCAGTAAAGATATATTTTGATTAATATGATGTCTGACAATTAAGTTCGCGAACTTGTTGCAACAATGTTGCTAACCTTTTTTGATCTCAGCGGAATTATTCATTATGAATTTGTACCTGCTGTACAAACAGTTAACCAAGTTTACTATTTGGAAGTGCTGAGAAGGCTGCGTGAAAAAGTTAGACGACCTGAACTTTCCACCAACAATACATGGCTCTTGCATCACATCAATGCACCAGCTCAAATGGCACTGTCTGTGAAGGGGTTTTTAACCAGTAAACAACTGTATTGGAACACCCTCCCTACTCACCTGATCTGGCCCCCAATGACTTCTTTCTTTATCCAAAGATAAAGGAAATTTTGAAAGGAAGACATTTTGATGACATTCAGGACATCAAGGTTAATATGACAACAGCTCTGATGGACACGCCAGAAAAACAGTTCCAAAATTGCTTTGAAGGGTGGACTAGGCGCTGGTGTTGGTGCATAGCTTCCCAAGGTGACTTCAAAGGTGACTGTAGTGATATTCAGCAATGAGGTATGTAGCCTTTTTTCTAGGATGAGTTCGCAAACATAATTGTCAGACCTCGTAGATTTAGTAAAACGACTTTTGACTCTGAATCCAGACATGATTTTAATTACATAACTTATTTTATAAAATTAAATAAGTTTCCATTTCTTTTTTTAACATCAAGTATAGTAAGTCTGATCTCAGTAATAAAATGGCAAATTCAGTTCTTAAGCCTCATGGAGAAAGCACCTGGTACACCATTCTTTTTAACGTAAAAGAAAAATCAATGCATGTCCCAACAGTAAAATTGTACCTTTTTTGAAGGACGAGTCCCTTGTGTGTAAATTCCTCACATTTTTAATAGTAATCTCTTCAGAGTTTTGAACTGGTTTTTATTAGTCAGAGAGGACGTCTGCTACATACACATTTTAATATCTGGTAACCTGGGTTTGAAACCAGATATTGCCACTTACTAGCTCTGTGCCATGGACAGATTCTTAAGCTTCTGTGATCCTGTAAAATGGAGCTAGGGACAGCTGCTCCAGGATTGCTGTGAAGGTTAAATGAATAAACTTTAGAGCACTGGGCCATAGGGAGTAGCCTATAGCGTCTCTTTTGCATTGCCTGAGGGTAGGGGCATGAGCAAGAATATTCTCAATGATGAGAGGCTTGTCTGCAGTTGCTTTGCAATCCTTATTCCTCCAGAAAAACATGCTGTATTACTCTTTTCCATTGCATTTTCTTTCTTTCCTGTCAGGCTCTGATTTGAATGCTACAAATGAAGACAACCTGGCAAAGCAGCAGGATATCAAATTAAAATTTATGCTGGTCATCTCATTGCTGACCCTCTTCCTTTTTGTCATCCTCTTGGCAGTATCTAGTGCCTTGCTGTACAAACTGAAGACTAAGTAAGTCTGCAGACCCCTGGAGTCTCTATAACATGTATGAATCTCTCAACCTCCTCTCTAATCGATTGTTAGGAAAACAGGACTCCCTAATTTATCCAGAAGGTATTCAGTCGACTCCATTTTCCCTGTTCAGAAAGAGGCATGGGCAATCTCTCAGGGAATATCCTACTTGAACATTTATTTCCCCCAATATCTTATATTTTAGTCATCCAGAGAAAGAAATCACCCTAGTCAACTGGAAAGGATATATAGAATCTAGCTATGCGTCCTTTTTTGATACCCTTGGAAAAAAAGGGCCGTGAACTCTATTCTAAATAGCATATCTGCTTAGGGGCTAACATTTTTTTATTATTAGTTTCAGGTGTACAAAGCAACATGATAGACATTTACACCCCTCACAAAGTGATAACTCCCTCCCAGAAGCTACTACCCCTCTGACATCATATATAGCTGTTACAATACCATTGACTAACTTCCTTATCCTATGCCCTGCCACTTGAGACCATATATATTTTTTTTCTTACATTTTTTATTTATTTATATAGTGTTATATCAAGTATCGATATATTGGACACGATTCATACACTGTTTTAATTTTGGGGATGCTTTTGTGAGTTGAACTTCGAATGTACATGATTTAAAACAACTCTTGACATATGTTTTCTTTTTTCAGTTATAACAAGAAATGTGAAAGTGAATATTCCATCAACCCAGAGCTTGCAACTCTGTCCTACTTTCAACCATCAGAAGGCATATCAGACACATCTTTTTCTAGGAGTGCCGACAGCAGCACATATTGGGCCACCACTTCTTCAGAATTGAGAAAGTCAGAAATAACGTCAAAATCTAGAATGATGGACATGACTCCCACAACCTCAGATGATGACATGTACTTGACTGAGGAGCAACACTTACTTCAGAGCGAGGAAGTTCGCATTGATGAATAGACTTAAACTTTTGTCATAAAAAATATCTTTCTTTGTGACTCACACTAATGTCATGGTTTGGAAACTGCTGAGATTTAAATTTTCTGGTATCTTAAAAGGAGGACATAGTCAATAAAATGCTCAGCTATAAAAATTATTTAATGGAAAACAGTACAAACAAATAATTTAAGGTGTGGAAAACTCATCTAGTAAAAATAATCCTGGAAAATGATGTATGAAAAGTATTCACTCTAGGCTGGTTCATTTTTAAATGACATAAATATCTATTTACCTAATCTGGAGGCATTTTGAGGACTTTCAGGGTTATCATCACAATCTATGCCCCTCCCCACCCCCAAAGCAAAAAGAACACACCTGTTCATGTTTTACTGGCAAAACAGTTGTGCCATGTCAAGAGATGAAACTAAATTAATATTAGAGACACCTAGCATTCTTGAATTATATAAAAGTCATCAGGGCTGCTCTCATAGGACAAACAGAAAAACAAAAAAGATTTTTTTTTCATTTTCTAAAGTATCCATAACCACTTGAGATAACGTGGTGTTCCAGAAGAAGAGAAAGGAAGAAGGGGTCCTAGCACATAATTTCTTATAGGGTGATTCATGGACTTTTAGAGCTGACAGGCCCTTCCTTCTTGCTTCCCCTAAGCATCCAGGCTCAATATGCTCCATTGGAAGAAAAGCAAAGCATCTCAAAGACTAATTCAAGTTAATAGTGACTGCTGCGGCCAACCATCCCAGGAGTATTTCAATTTACAAAGAAGACCAATGGAATAGGGATTTTTTTCCTTTTTATGAATTAGTTTCCACTGGAAGGATTATAGGGACACATATGAGGTCTTTTGTGGATATGTGTGGATGGGAAGAGGGGGAAAACTTGGAACAGGTTTCATTGCCCTCCTAAATTCTCACCTACTCTACACTAGGCACTTTGGCACATTATATCATATTGAATTCTACCCTATGAAAGGCAAGTTTCTTTTATAGATCAAGAAACAAAAACTCAGGTAAATCAGATACCTTGCCTAAGATCACACGTTAGAGAGACGCAAAACTAAGATGAGTTTCCAAACTGAGGTTCTCTCCATGATCCGCAAAGGTTAATAGTCAAAATTTTAACAAAAAATCACATGAGGTTGTTTAGTAGCAAGGTAGGCCCAACATCCATAAGGCAGGAGGTTCCTTAACTCAGGTATTCTTTCAGCTCCTGGGGAATTGTTTTCCCTACCTCTAGCTTAGGTATCTATAAGCCTTCTTCCCCATGGAGGACAGACACACACTTTACACTCAGGTGCCACTTCACCTACCATCCATTTTCAGAATCATTCACTCCCCCCTCCCCCCCACCACCCACCAC